GAATAAAATACTTGCAAATACCATTTTACTCGTTGCAACATGAATACACCATGACTTGCCGGGTGGGGGGGGGGCTTAAATCTAACAAAACGGTTTCAGGAGGTGTATTTGTTAGAACTTATGCTTAGAAGCGATGCATTAGTAATGAGCTAGAAGCTCTTTCAGTACATCCAAGAAGGGTAGGGAATGGATGGGGAAGGGAATCGGGGGCAATCCCTAGGGATTGGGGGTAATCCCAAGGCAATCTCCAATAGGTGGGTTGGAGATTTCTTGGAGATTACATTTGGGTTTGGTTGGGATGTAGGTGTACACCCAACCAAACACAATGTGCAAACTACACTACTCTAGGATATAGAAAATACAAAGTACAAAGTGTGAGATTGAAGGCTAACACTAACACCCCCCCATAGACGTCAATCAAACTCAGGGCAGAGAGGATGGAGCACCGAGCCCCATGGCGCCAAGGAGACGGTGGTGGGGAACTTTCCCAAGGGGCTTGGTGAACAGATCAGCCAGGTTGCAGTCAGACGCAACGTACTCCACTTTCAACTGCTCCTGCTGGACAAGGTCACGGATGAAGAAGTGCCGGAGTTCAATATGCTTGGTGCGGGTGTGGTACACAGGGTCTTGAGAGATGTGGATGGTACTCTGGTTGTCACACCAGAGGGTGGGGGCGGACTGTGGGAAACCAAGCTCCTGGAGCAGGAAGGTGAGCCAACGGGCTTCCTGAGCAGCCATGGTGCCTGCGTAGAGCTCTGCCTCACAGGAGGAGAGGGAGACTGCAGACGACCTGGTGGAGCGCCAACTGACAATTCCGCTCCCAAGGGTGAAGCAGTACCCCTGAGAGGAGCGTCGGTCGGTCTGGTCATCAGCCCAAGAGGAGTCGGTGTAACCTTCCAGGCGAGGAGGGGAGAGCCCACCGAGTGTGAGAACGTGAGACTTGGTGCCCTGAAGATAGCGCAGCACCCGCTTCGCCGCCTTCCAGTGAAGATCAGTGAAGCGTCCAGGGGCCACGTAGCGAGAGAGGACACTGACAGGGTAGGCCAAGTCTGGTCGGGTGCACATCATGGCGTACATAAGGGACCCAACAAGCTCCGGGTACGGCTCAGAGCAGGCCTCTGGTGTGGGTACAGCTGGAGCTGTGAGGAGGTGTTGTAGTGGCAGCAGGGTGGCAACAGGTGTGCACAGCTCCATCTCAAACCGCTTGAGCACATTGTCGATGTAGAACTCCTGGGAGAGTGAAATGGTGCGAGCCTGGCGATCACGAGTGATCTCCATCCGCAGGTAGTGCTTGAGGTCACCGAGGTCTTTCATCTGGAGGGCCTTGCTCAGGGCTGCCTGGACAGAGGTCATCTGGGCCGAGTCCTTGGCAACGAGGATGAAATCATCCACGTAGACCAGGATGTAGAATGGCTCAGAATGACGGCGGATGAAGAGAGTCGGGTCAGCAGTTGAAGGGTGGAAGTCCAGGGAGAGGAGGACTTCTTTCACCTTGTTGTGCCATTCGCGAGGGGCTTGCTTAAGGCCGTAGACGGGGCGATTCAGCTTCCAGACAGTGTTGGGAGGGAATTCTCCTGGGAAGCCTTCTGGTCTGTCCATGAACACTGTCTCCTTGAGACGTCCTTGTAGGAAGGCGGATGAGGCATCCATGGATTTGATCTCAAAGTCTTCTCGAGCTGCGACATCCATGAGCGTACGAATGGTGGGAGGTTTGGATGTGGGGGAGAAGGTTAGGAAGAAGTCGCGGTACTGCTGCTGGGTGAAGCCCTTGGCTATGTAACGCGCTTTGAACACCGGGGCCTCGTCTGGGAGCTGTTTTACACGGAACAACCACTTGCCCCCGACGATGTTGACTCCTGGAGGTGGAGTCTCGTCGTCGAAGGAGTGGTTGCGGGTGAATGCTGCAATCTCCGCTTCCATGGCAGCACGCCATTCGGCAGCATGAGGGCCTGAGAGAGCCTCTTGGACGGTGAGAGGGATAGGGATGGTCGGGTTCTCCGCGAAGTTGAGGGAGGGTGAGTCAGTGATGTCGGGGAAGATGTGCGAGAGCTGAGGAATGACTGCATGAAGATCACACAGCTCCTCATGCCTGTCTTCCAGAAGGGTAGAGGGCACATCCCCCCCAGCAGGAGGAGGCGGTGTGATCGCCGTGTACCGAAGAACCAGCGCTAGTGGAAGAGCAGCGCCATGCGAACGAGTGCCATGAGCCACCGGAGAAGAGGGTGGGGCAGGCGGAGTCGAGGGGGTGGACTTAGGAGGCTTGGGCGGGGGAATGGGCCGCCGGTGGTACGTGATCAGCTCGGGCGACTGTGGGAGAGCGGGTTCCTCTGTGGTGGGGGGAACCGGGGGAGGAGGTGGGGCCGGAGGGTGGGACCGCCGATGGTAGGTGATAGGTGCGCTCGGAGGTGGCTGCACAGTCGGCGGAGTGGGAAGTGAGGGGGATGGAGGGGCAGCTGCCGAGGACACCGGTGAGGGCGGGTCAGAGACCTCAGAGGGGGACGGTGCGGTGGCAGGAGGGGTAGGAGGTGAAGGGGCCGGAGCAGGCGGGGGGCCAGGAGGCGCATCAAAGTCTGCCCACACGAGGGAGGGTGGATCAGGGAGAGAGTCCCGTCCCGAAGTGGAGTAGAATGGGCGGGTCTCATCAAAGACAACGTCGCGGCTCCGGACCAATTGTTGAGTGGAGGGATTGAGGAAGACGTAGTCAGGCGAGTAGGCGTTGTGCCCGAGGTAGATGCACGTCTGGGTCTTGGGACCGAGCTTGCCGCCGTGCTGCCGTCGAGCCTGAGGGTTGAGGAGGACATAGGCGGTGCACCCCCAAACGCGAAGAGAGCAAGCAGTGGGCGTTTTCCCGAGCCAGAGTGTGGTTGGAGTGGTGTCGGGAAGATGCGGGTGGGGGTAAAGGTTGTAGAGGAGGGCGGCGTGGTAGAGAGCGTGCCCCCAGAGAGAGTGCGGAGCGTTGGAGTGGCTGAGGAGGCACCGAGTGATCTGCACCAGGGTGTGGTTGCGGCTCTCAGCTATGCCGTTCTGCTGCGGGCTGTCAGGGAGGGTGAAGTTTTGCTGGATGCCTTCTGAGGAGCAGAAGGCTTTGAGCTTGTCGTTGCAAAACTCACCACCACCATCTGAGTGGAGGCGCTTGACTTTGCAGTCAAAGGCGGTCTGTGCCTGTTTAACCCACGCCATGAGGACCTCTGGAACCGCAGCCTTAGTGTGGAGGAGGTGAACAGAGACGTAGCGAGAGTGGTCATCGACGATAACAAGGAAGTAGCGATAACCACCTCGTGCGGGAACAGGGGCAGGGCCCCAGACGTCCAGGTCTACCAGGTCCAGTGGTCCTGCTGCGACAGAGGGTGAGGCCGGGTGGGGCTGTTGACGCAGTTTGCTCTTGGTGCAGTCAAGGCACGTGGGAGCGGGGGAGTCTGGTGGTGGAGGAAGTGAGGCTGGCAGGCCGAGTAGAAGTTTCTTGGAGGCCATGTCAGCAAGTGTGCGGAAGTTTGGGTGCCCGAGCCGATGGTGGTAGAGTATGGTCGGGTTGGAGAAACTGCGGCACGAGCATGGTGAGGTAGTCGCCGCTGTTTGGGTGGTTGACGCCTGTGGGATAGGTACTTGCAGCGTGTAAAGGCCGCTGCTGTTGAGGGTGAACCGAGTCAAGACCTTGTTGGTGAGTGGGTCGAGGATGTCACCATAGTTCTCGTTCTCCCAGAAGATGGTGCGTAGCCCAGCTTCCTGAATTTCCGTTTGGACCACGAGATTGTGGCGGAGTGAAGGCACGCACATTCCAGTGACAGTGCCGGAAGGGAAGGCGGGGCACGGGACTGTGGATGAACCCTTGGCATGAGTGGTGAAGCTTGAGTCAGCTCCTAGGAGAGGGATGGGTGTTGCGTAGGGTTTGAAGGAGAGTGTCTCCTTGAGTACAGTGTGTGTGGCGCCGCTGTCGAGTGTGAACTCTATGAATTGTGGTGCTTGTGATGAGCCGAGGTACTGGGAGGAAGCTTCATTAATCATGGCAGTGCCAGGGAACAACAGGTTGATACGGACATCAGCAGGAGCACTATCACTAGCACTAGCACTAGCCGAAGCGGGGTCCTGGACCTCAACCAGGTTGGCCTTACGCGCACGCATCCAGTTCGGTGGCCTCTTGTCTATGCCGTGGATGGCGTACCATTCGTCGTCTTTCTTCTTGAAGCACGTAGCAAGGGGGTGGTTAGTGCCACCACACACTTGTCCCTTGCGGTTGCCATACTTGACGACGTAGGTGCACGGTGGGAAGCGATTGCGCTGGAGGGGCGCCGAGGCAAGGGCCGATGCGACACTGGCTTGAGGCATGGGAGCACGGATGGCGTAAGCCTTGGCCTGAGCCGTGGAGTCTTTCTCGGCAGAGAGGAGTGCGCTGGAGACCTTGGCAAAAGTGAGGTCTTCCGCAGTCAGCGTGAGGAGCATCTTCCTTGTGATTTCGTAGGCTGTGGTGAGACCAACGAGAAGAGCTGCTGCAGGGGCCTGTTCGGGGAAGACTATACCCAGCTCCTTGAGTTCGCCATGAATGGTCTGAACCTTGGCAATGTAGTCGGCCATTCCCGAGCAATCCTCAAGGTGGACCTGGAACATGCTGGGGATGAGGATAGCAACTCCGATTGCAGTCTTGTTCATGAACCGATCCTGGAGATACTTCCAGATGGCGTTGGAGGTAGGGTAGTTATGGAACGTGTTGACAAGTTCTGGAGGGGTGGAGGCGATGAAGACGCTGATAATAGCAGCATCGGCCTTCTCCCACTTCCGGTACTTCTCCACAGCTTCCTCATATGCCATTGTGTCAGCCTCACTAGCGGATTCGGTCGGCTCACGAGGGGGAAGGGGCTCCCTTGCCACGGTTGAGGAGGACATCCTTGAGGTCCAATCCCTGCACGTCAGGACTCAAGAGGTGCTTGTCAACCCCATAGCTCCAAGCCTTGAAGTTGGAGCTAGAGCCATCGGCTTCAAGGCGGAGTGGGGTGATGGGGTTGGCCATGGTGGACGAGGTGAATGCCATAATGAAGACCCCTTGGTGTCTCGCGCGAAGCGCCGCGCTTAAGTCACCGATAGGAAATAACGAGCGGCGCGCAGCGCGGCGATGTCGAAATCCGACGGATCCAAATAGGAAATATCGTCAATGTCGACCGCGTCGGGAAGCCTCGTAGAGGGAATTTCTAGGCCGCCAAAACTAGGTGAAATCGGCCGACTACCGTAGATCTAACCCTAATCCCACACACCCCCCCCACACACCACCCTCAGCTTCGCGGCTACGCTGCTGCACGGCTTCGCGGCTGCACAGCTGCTCGGCTGCGGGAAAAGGGGAACGGGGGTAGAAGTGCAGATGCGGGGCGACGGGCGGCGGCCCGACGAGAAGTTGCGGGGCGACGGGCGGCGGCCCGACGAGAAGCTGCGGGGCGACGGGCGGCGGCCCGACGAGAAGCTGCGGGGCGACGGGCGGCGGCCCGACGAGAAGCTGCGGGGCGACGGGCGGCGGCCCGACGAGAAGCTGCGGGGCGACGGGCGGCGGCCCGACGAGAAGCTGCGGGGCGACGGGCGGCGGCCCGACGAGAAGCTGCGGGGCGACGGGCGGCGGCCCGACGAGAAGAGGTGACGCGGTGACGAAATTGAGAGATGACGAAAAAGGAACGATAAGTTAGAGCGACGTCGATGAGCGTACCATAGAAATTGAAGGCGTCGTCGAAGTTGACGGGAAAGTGGTGCGGGAGAATTTCCGCCCACGAATGTCGCGAATCGACGGCGACGAGATTGAAGGAGGCTATGCCGAGCTTTGCGGGAAGAACATCCGCATAGATAGGAGGATCACAATCCGCATGTGCGGAGGTATGCCTCTGATACCATGTTAGAACTTATGCTTAGAAGCGATGCATTAGTAATGAGCTAGAAGCTCTTTAAGTACATCCAAGAAGGGTAGGGAATGGATGGGGAAGGGAATCGGGGGCAATCCCTAGGGATTGGGGGTAATCCCAAGGCAATCTCCAATTGGTGGGTTGGAGATTGCTTGGAGATTACATTTGGGTTTGGTTGGGATGTAGGTGTACACCCAACCAAACACAATGTGCAAACTACACTACTCTAGGATATAGAAAATACAAAGTACAAAGTGTGAGATTGAAGGCTAACACTAACAGTATTCTGTTTCATGAAAAAAACGGCCACAATTTGGGACCAAATTGAACCCGAAATTCAGCAGGATGAAGGGGACGGACCCCTTCTTGCATGTGTGCGGTTGTTGGCAAGAATGAAAATGTATTAGACCTTGTGTTTCCCTTTTTTTACTGGGTGAACACAGTTCTCTAACAAAAAAACGCTCGTTTTTTTTTCCCCCGTAAAAAACGACCGTATATAGCGGACCGTATTTTATGAAAACCGTTTTTTTAGCCTTGAATGTAAGGCAATCTGAACTAGATCTGGCGATTTTGCACGCCACTCAACCATGAGGGCAGCGTATCCCCCTTCCTACCCACCCCACTTCTCCAAAATGGGTTCTGAAGCTAATTTAGTCGAGATCGTTATAAAGAAATTCACCTGGGTTGGGTCTGAAAAGGTTCGGGCAAACTTTTGGCGCGGGCGGGCACATATGGCCGGACCCGGGCCGTGGAAATTATTGGCCGGCCCAGGGCGGGCCGAACCTGGTTCGGCACAAATTTTTGGATGTTCCGGCCAGGTCCGACACGGGCCGAACCATGTTCGGCCCATGCTCATCCCTACTTGAGACCGTATGCTTAAAAATACTGTTTGCCATGTCTTGGATGTACAACATGTGTGTCAGCAGGCCCGAAAAAACACCTTACAAAACCAGCCCCAGGAAAGTGATTCCGGCCAAAAATGGCCCGAACCAGCCACGGTCGGGCCAAAAAGGTTTGGTCAAGCCTTTATCGGTACTGATGGCCTTACCTGGGCCATGGACTGCTCGGCCAGCCCGGGTCGGGCCGAAACAGTCGCCTGGTTTTTTTGCAGGCCCGGCCCGGTGTAACCCGGGCCGAACGTCATCCCTACTTACAAGGTTGCCATCTTTGACAGCAAGCCAATGTCAGAGGGGATGGAGCCGGTGAGCTGGTTGGTAGAGAGAGAACTGTCCAAGACAAGGACGCAAGAGACACATGGGGGGTGTGCAAGGAGATGGGAAAACGGGTGAGAAGGTGGGTAAGACCTGGTAGTGGCGTGAGATAAGAATGAGGAGGAGGATTAAAACTCGGGCCGACCCAATGCGAACCTCACCAGCCTAATAGCCAAACCAGGTGGAGGTCCAGTCAGTTCAAGTCAAGCTGACATCTAGCCTGGCCGGCCCATGGGCCGACTATATGGGTTTGGCCACTGGCGGTTTGTCACGAACCTAGGGTGCTTCGTCAAATACTAGTCCTAACTAGTTGCCTCTTCATTCTAATCACAATGTTCCAAGGTGGTTGAATTTTCTTTTATGTCAGTTCTTCAATACACGAGAACTTAGTAGTGCAACCGATTGTCGCCAAAAAAGGTCGCCCAGCTTGTTTCCCTGGCTCGACCGGCACATGGCAAATCAAAGTAGCAGTGGTAGAAGCAGTGGCAGTGACAGTGGCAGTGCCAGTGGGAGTGGCAGTGGCAGCGGCAGTGGCAGTGGGAGCGGCAGCGGCAGTGGCAGTGGCAGCGGCAGCGGCAGCGGCAGTGGCAGCGGCAGTGGCAGTGGCAGTGGCAGTGGCAATGGCGGTGGCAGTGGCAGTGGCGGTGGCAGTGGCAGTGGCCGTGGCACTGGCAGTGGCAGTGGCAGTAGCTGTAGCAGTAGCAGTAGCAGTAGTAGTACCATCTTCATTGCACAATCCGCAGTGGTTTTTGAAAAGGAAAAGAATACTATGGATCTCTGTTATTTTTTTATATAATGAAAGCTCGATCAAAACTTGTGAGAACATGGAAGGATTGAGCAAACAGCCCGGGCAGGTAGATTCAACCCGACCCAGGTTTGGCCGGGTTGGGTCACTCCTCTGGTGGGCTCGACCCGACCCGGCCCGACACTTGGGTCAGGATTTGCCAGCAGGTCGACCTGACCCGACCTCGGGCACATGCCGACCCGACTGGCGGTCGGGCCGGTGAATTCCTCAAGCCGACCCTCTCCTGTCCAAGTCGACCCGACCCAACCCAAGCTGAGGAAAAATGGGTCAGGTTGGGACGGTTTGATGTGTTGCCCAAGTGGAAGTGGAACCAAGTTACAGGAAAGTAAGAGCGGTGAGTTTTGTGATCAAGGAGGGCAAAGATCCTGACAACATGTTGGCGTCGAGATAGCTGTTGGTGGTGTAGGGGTGGATGCATGGGAAAAATGGTTCCGAGTCCATTTGTGTGTTTGCGGGACCAGGCCAGACCAACATAAGAAACGGAAGGCATGAGCAATCTACAGAACCAAACTTGTTTGAGTCGAACCAGAAAGACCGAATCGAAGTTTGACTATTAAGGGTCGGACCAGGCAGGTTCGAATCGACTAGCCCAGGTTCAGATCGACAAGCCCAGGTTCGGATCAACTAGCCCAGGTTCGAATTTACAGGTTCGGTCGTAATTTACGGTTGAAATTTTGAAACAGTGAAGTGGAAAAAGAAATTGTAAGGGGACCCCCTTGAGCGAAGCCTCTCTTTTAAAGCGGGGAAAGGGGGGATTAATAAGGACTGTATTAGTAGGAAATTGCGATGTTCCAGTCGCTATTGCAATGGGGAAATGTGTCGCTGCAGAATAGGTACGAGTGAGATCTAGATCTCACCCAGTCTCAGGGTACAAATGTTTGAAAGGTTGGGTTGGGTTAGGTAGAGGGAGTGCGATTTAGAGCGGTTGGGGGGAGTGCATGAGCTGGGAAAATTGGGATGCAAATCTTCCATGTTTGAGCTCGCTGGCAATTCGTCATGTAGAAACGTGAAGTGACGAGTTAGCCTATGTGATAATGAACCCCGCTGCCACGTCGCGCAGGGGTCAAGAATGCACCGAGTTTAAGTACTCGCAAGTATTTTTTCCCTCACCAAAACGTTTTTACTCATTTTTCAAGTAATATTTTAGCCGCACAAGGCGGGACGCACGCCTATTGTCTTGAGGAGCATAGTGAGCGTTTTTTTAGGCATAGATCCGTTGTAGACCATTTTAGGCCTGATAGTGTTAACACTAAGTACTATGCGGAAGCGATTAACTCAGTACCACAAACATAAACTAGGCAACACTTAACATCACTTGTGAACCAAGTGAATAGTTATGCCACGCTTAGCTTGTGGAGTGAGTGTTCTGGTCAGGGTGCAAAAAAACGATGATTTTTTCAAAATTTGATCGTAAAATACCGTATCGTAAGAAACGATCGTAAAATACAATAAATTTCGATTTTTAGAAATTAATTGATTTGGGTGGAAAAAAACCATCGTTTTTTTCAGAAAAGGGTACAAAACTGCTGCTGTAACAGGGGGATTGTTTTGTGAGTAGAATGAGGGGGCTGTTAGAAGTATTGCTGATGCACTAGGAGATGGTCAAAAGTATTTTTTGGGTCACAACAGCATTTTTTTTATCGAGGCGCTTTTTTCTGTCTAACAAAAAAACGACGTTTTTTTCCCAAAAGGTACCGTAAAGAACAATCGAAAAATACAATCGTATTTTTCGACAATCGTTTTTTTCCACCTTGGTTCTGGTTGAGCAGAGTTTCGGCAGCACTTCGTTGTGTATCTACTCTCGTCAATACGTAGAAGTAGATTGTATCCTTGAAATCATAGAAGCATTGTTGATGAAAGCAAATACTGATAGAATTGGAACTAAAGTGATTGATTGATAAGGAAGGCGCTAGGCCTTAAGTACAAACACGGTTGGGTTGAGCAAAGCTAGGGAAAGGATGGGATGGGAATCCTAGCAAATCTCCAATTGGTGAGTTGGCAGATTTGCAGGATTACGAAGGAATCCCAACCAGATAGGGTTGGGATTACAAATCTACACCCAACCTACAAAGTAACCTAACCGATATAGAATATAGTACAAAGTGTTGACTAACTATTTCTAACACACCCCCTAGGCTGACAACACTTCAGCCACATGGCGGCCCAACACCCATGGACGAGAGGAGGCGGTAGTGGTCTTGGCAAGGTTGCAGTCGGAGGCAATGTGTTCAGCCTTCAGCTGCTCGCGCTGCACCAGCTCACGAAGAAAGTAGTGACGGACCTCAATGTGCTTGGTGCGGCCGTGGAAGACGGGGTCCTTTGTGAGATGAATGGTGCTCTCGTTGTCACACCAAAGCGTTGGGGCTGGTTGAGGATACCCAAGTTCTGCCAGCAAGAAGGAGAGCCAACGGTTTAGAAGGGTGTGCCGACCGAGAGGCGTTTCAACTTGAGCCATCAAGTGTGCAACGTTCACTAAGCTAGAAGCCTGGCTCTGATACCATGTAGAATGAGGATCGGTGAACTTAAGGCACAATGAGAGAAGAACAATATATCCTTAGTAGGAAGATGGTACAAGCCTGAGAGGCTAAAGCAATGTCCTTAACCAAGGATAAGTTCTAGAGAAGTGGGAAGCCACATATATGTGGCTGAACTCTTGAGGCTAGCTGCAGCACCTCAAAGCTGAGGGCAAGGCTAGCCAACCTTGCCAAGCTAGCAACTGAGGCCACAT